TCCTCGCTCATTTTCAGGTAGACACCCGAGCCTCCATCCCAGGCCAAAGAGAAGCCAAACGCACTCTTCACTAGCAGGTAGTCAGCCAGCCGCTCAATAAACACACCGCCTACAGTCTGAGGCAGACTTAACCTGACATTTTTCAAACACAACAGGGAAAATGAGCTCTTTGAAAATCATGTTATGCTCTGTTGTGTTGATCCCTGCTGTTACAAAATTTCTTGCTAATTTCCAAATTTAACTTGCTACTTTAGGTCAACTAGCTTAGAAGCAGCTGACCTAAAGTCAGCTGTCGCCCAGGAGGATTTGCTGGGTTTTTCCTTCTATTATAATAATAATATTAATAATAGTAAAATCTAGACCTTACTTTGTAAAGTGTCATGAGAGGACCTTTGTTGTGATTTGGCGCAATACAAATAAAAATTGAATTGAATTTACAACGAACTGGTGTGGATGGGTGGTGACTAAATGAGTAGTTGTTTCCCTTTCTGTTTTTAAAGTCTGGCAACAAGTTGTTTTTGTTGTAGAATCCCAAAATATATCTCTTTTTCTTTCACTGCAGAACACACACATGCACACCTTCGGCCTCCTTGGTGAACCTGATATCCAGAGATGTGGATCTCCTCCTCATTTGGGAAGAACAGACTAAGTGCTCTTGGGCATGAATACACACTCCCATCACATGCTCTGCTGTTGTGGACCTGAGAAGACAAGAAAGGCAGTGGAAGAGAATCAAAGAACAGGTCAGAGAGGGATAAGCAGTTTTAGTCACGGTCTGTAACCTGAGCTAGCTTTCTAAAAAACTCAGTCACCTGCCTGGTAAAGATGCTGCCACTAGTGGTACATCCACTGAAGTGCTACCACAGTTTACTTAGGCTATGACAATCAAAAACAATGTATGACAAAAAAAAATATTAGGGGAAAACAGTTGAATTTTTGAAGTAGTTTTAAACAATATTTAATAAAAATACCAAAATCTACAACATGTTAGTGCATCAGCCCTAGGCCCATTTGCTACTCCCTACTAACTGCAGTAGAAAAGAAATATGGCCACCACTGAAACAAAGCAGTGTCTCTCAGTTATGTGATTAATAGTTGTTTGGCACAAGGCCAAACAGGCTTTGGATCAACAAGTAGAAGTTGATGGCAGGGCAGATTTAAAGTTAGTTTTGTTTGTTTCTTTTTCCATTAAATTCTTAAAATCAGCTGTTAGGTATGAGCTTTAAAAGCAAATGAGATAACTTACAAAACTCAAAAGGACCAAATCTACTGGAGGAGCAAATTGTTTGTCAAACACAGACAATAATTACAGCTTCTCAGAGGTTGATAATAACTGCTAATTAGCATGCAACCCACTGTTATATAACCCTTATTTTGTTGTTAGTTTTAGATGGTTATAAATACTGCTATAATGAACTGCTTTACATGATTCTGTGCATTGCTCTAGTTTAACTGTAACCATAGTACTGTTGTAAAAGAGCATGCATGCTGAGGCAAAAAAAAAAGAGCAAAAAACATGTACACATAAGGGTTAAATACCGGTTAATTATTTCAGTGTTTAGTATAGATCTTTCTGCTCTTACCCACACCGTGTACTGTGGTGTAGCTGAGTGGCAGTCCTGGGCCAGAATGTAAGAACAGGTTCCGGGGAAGTAGAAGTATATTCCATCAAATGTTTCGTAGTGGTGCTGACCCCATGACCTACAGATCCCGTCTCTATCCTGACCCTGGTTAAGTACTGAGAGGCAAATGAGCAATTCACTCAGGGAAAATTCTTGAAATGATAAAGTGAATTAGTTTCACATACTGATAGAAATCAATGTGATTCAATGTTTTTCCTAAGTTGTGAAGGCAAGTCATACTTCCCATCCCTTTTATTATATTTATATCTTTCAGCATCTTTTATTTCTGAAATTATCAGAGGAAGATGAGTACCTGAATTTCTGATAAAAGCTCTTTGTTACAGGAAATCCCCACAGCTTTCCATGCCAAGATGCTGCCCAAGACCCTCCCTAAAATCTGAGGGAGTGGGGGCCTGTGACAGTGAGTCACATCTTCTAATCTGTTCAGTGAGTGGCTTGTAATGCTGATGGTAATCCAAAATGGCACATTTTGTAAATGATACTTTACATGAATTAAATGCAAGATGTTTCAATTAACAAAATTTCCCACTGTTATTTACTGAACATGTTCTGTGGCATCAGCTCTGTTACCCTGATCTTCAACATTGCATTACAGCTGGAAAGCTTGATAATATTCTTGTCAACTTGATTTTGATAAAAATGCATATAACTATATTGTTTCTAGCATATATCAACACTAAATTAGATGGTTAAAATGAAAAGTGTCTTTGCAATGAATGTGACCTCAGATCTCCTGATATTCTAGAAAGCAGTGACTCTATCACTCAACTCTTACCCTATTGCCTAAGTTCAAGTGATTTTATGACTGATATTGTTTGTGTGTGTGTGTGTGTGTGTGTGTGTGTGTGCTGGGTTGGGGAAGGTGGGCATTGAGTTTGAATCAACAAAGAGAGATACAGGGAAATCTTTAATGCTAGGGTACATGCAGGTAATTAATATTTGTTGATGGATTGACAAATCTGATATGCACACACAAGCAATATCAAGCACACTCATTCTTGAATAATTGGATGTGTAACTGTGTACTGTTATTACAAAGTTGTATGCACACTAACCAGCCACTCTAGGAATGGTGTTTGTCAGTTGTTGCAGTGATGACATTCTGATTAATCTGAGCTCACTCCAAAGATAGATGTGTACAGTAGGTGTGTGTGTGTTAATTACTCACTGATCTGGCAGCGGTCTCCCAGTGCCTGGAACTGAGCGCAGTCACACACACCATCCTCCTGACACCAGCCACCATTGAGGCAAGCACAGTATTCTGGGAAAGACCCAAACAAACTCACTTACCCCAGTCTATCTGGGTAATGATAGTTTTAAGCTTCTGTGAATGCATCTGGGATCACTTCACACATAGTGTATTTACTGTACCTTGAGAGGCAGAGACATCTCTGGCTGTGTAGTTGTGTAAAACGTTGCGTGGCAGAGTACCCTCTGACAGCAGTGGTCTGTATGTCTTGGAAAACAGTAAGCACTTAGAGCAGTTTTTTAAATAATCCTAAAGCTTTAACAGCATCTGTGACATGGTACTATACCACTAGTGCACCTGTTACTGTAAGTAAAAGTTGCGTCAGATTGAGTGGGAGAAAGTGTTTCCATTACTGTGTGTGTCTCACTCTTTACAAAGACAGCTTTGTGCTGGTTAGGGTGTTGTGCGCATGTGGGTGCCCTGACCTCCTCTGGTTCTCTTAGGTGTAATGTACCAACCTCCTCCCCGAGGAGATCCCGTTTCCTCCGAAGTGCATTAGCCCTTCTGCACACACACAAACATGCACATTAGTAGGAAGAAACAGTCAGAGGGGAGACTTAAGTGCACTTTACACCACTTGAATTCAGACTCCAAATGACTCTTTACTGAACCCTCACACACACACAAATGTACATCACACACACACACAGTTCAAATGCATTCATCAGTGAAAACATATAAAATTATATAAAAAAAATGAGCTGTGAATAATTTTTAAACAATGTTTCTTATATTTCAGCCACATCATTAATGATAGAGAATTATTCATTCATGTTTTTGTTTTGATTTACCTCTGTAGTCTTCCTTCCACCACTGAATGTTGGCTCTGAGCTCCTAAATGTAAATCAAATTAACATTTGATTGTTATTTAAAATTTCTTTCTCACACACACTATATATTTTATACCATTAGCCTATATGCTGTATAATATTTATAAAAACAAATGATCTTTAATAATACAGATTAACAGAAAGGCTGCTCAGTGCGCTGATCTAAAAAAGCTTGTAACATCATTTAAATGTTTTTACAACTGTTAATATCACTGTATAATGCCATATGTCTGTATAAAACTTAGAAGAGTGGTATACATTTTGGAGAAATACAACTGTCCGACTCACCCTCAAGTAACAGTAGGTGGGAGACAGAAAACGACATAAGGAGAAATCGTTTCACTGTCCACTTTGGGTACATCTCAGAGTCCGAAGGGAAGCCCCGCCGAAACGTTAACGGTGCATCTCAGTGGTCCCGGGAGGAAAAGATTGATAGCACCGCGACGATGCCTACCTGGTGGCGATGAACCCCCCCCCTGAGCAGACGGGGAGCAGCCTACACCTGTGTGGACAGATAGGCTTGTTGCTCTGTCACTCCAACATCCTGTGCCAGCAGACGCGCCTGACTCTGTGGTCTGTGAGTGTGAGCCATCGCGGAGGTGGACACCTCTTAAGTTACAGGTAAATGTCTGTTTGACCACATGACCAGGGTGGGTCACTTCTGACGTGTCAGCTAAAACAGGTGGAGGAAAACTGCGGACACACTGAGCCAAAGAGTGAGAGATGGATAAGTGCCTGCGCCAACACCCCCAGCCAGTCCCAGCGACTGCTCCTCCAGGGGGCGCTGCAGACTTATTGTTTACAAAGCTCTGCATTTTTCAGTGTCTAAAGAAGCGGAATAAAATGTTATAAAGTGTGACCACATAGTATCTCCAATAAATTAGAAAGGATATGTGATGCTTAACTGGTCATTACCGTTGTAGGGTGAATTTGTAAATATGGTTTAAACTTTGTAAACCATGTAAACTTTGAAATAAAATGCATGTGTGCATGTGCATGTTATAGAAAATACACACACACACATATATATTTTTTTTAACATTGCTGTCATTCTCCAAGTATAACTGAATTAAATTATAACAATAAATTATTTAACTAGAAAAAGACAACACTGGATATTATCATGTGAGACTTTCATTTCATTGTCCTCTGGATTATCTCCCTGGGCAGTTTAATCATGTCTGTCATTTGGACTGAGAAGGTTGGACTGAGAAGGTTGTTAAAACAGATGTAGAAAAGCATTTAGTTGTTTTTTTTTCTTAAAACCTCATCTTGTTTAATAGCAGGCTACTGTACATTGTGATACATCTTTGCTTAAAACTCTTTATAACAGTGTAATAGGTAGAAGCAGGAACAGGGGGCTTACTAAAGAAAGAATGCTAAAGTCTGAAATAGTGAATAGTGTCAGAGGTAAAACTGGGTAATATTGAATAGATTTTCTCAATGTCGCTTAAAGGTTTTTAAGGGGAGTTAGAGGAGAGGTACAGTAGGAACATAAGTTGGTGCAAGGTCTCTTGCCAGTGGGGTTACAGTTTTATTTCTTGTTAGAAATTTGTGCATTTATTTCATCCTCTGGTTGAAGGCTATGCCACTGGGCTATTGGCCGCCGAGGGTTAGCCAGCATGTCTGCCCAGTGCTGTTGCTCAGTGCCAGTGCTGTTGCATCCCAGCAGCACCTTCCCAATGGCGTCATTCTTCCCAATCTTATCATAGTCCAACACGGTCACTCCTACCTGCACTTTCTATAAATGAAAATACATACACGAAAATGAATTTTCTGATATTGATTGTATTTCTGTGTATGTATGTTGCATGAATGGGCAGGCGTTTGTACCTCTATCTGTTCATATGGCACTTCAAAACTGAAAGACTCATTGTAGTAAGGGTTCAATGTGTTCTTCTTTATCGTTGTTTTCTTTTTCTTCAGTCTTTTTCCATTCTGCATTAAGTGGAGCTTCACATAAGGGTCTGATAGAGAGAACAAGGATGGTTGTTATCAGAGCTACAGATCGACAGCCTGGCGCTGACGCAGTAACACCATCAATGAAACGCATCTATTGTAGTAGCACCTGAGAGTTTTCTCTAAAAAGAAACCTCTTGAAAGCAGACACACCACTAAAAATGAAGTGGTCGTAATGCCTCAGTGCCCAACTAGAACTAAAGAAGTGTTTACTTTACTGTGGGGGCAACATTGTCTGTACTGAACATTTTCAAGCATTTTACATGAACCTTGAACTTAACCACAATGTGACTAGAATTCCTTGCTGTTTGACTCACCTGACAATCCACCCACATCCATTTTTTTCAGGTTTTTGGCTTCCAGAATCACCACAGTCAGCTTCCCTGCAGTAGGCACATACCTCAAGGACAAACATATATCTCCAAGCCGCTCACTCTGATACAAAGAAAAAAGAGGAAACTATGGGGAGCTGTCTTAACAAATTAGGTATGGCTTCAAAATAAAATTTTAAAAAAATTTGTATCAAGATATCAGCATTACAAAATGATGGGTAAATATCAAAAGTAGGAAATATTTGATTTTGCTAATAGCAAAGAAACACTGAAACAACTTTTTTTAATAAAAAGATTGTTTTCCATTGAATAGCAGATTTGCACTTGCAGATCCTTTTTTTTTTTTTTAATCAAGAACAGTTCTTCTTTTTTTCTCACAGTGTGCTCCCACCTCCTCCTTCTCTGCCTTCTGCAGATTCCTCCACTCCTGCAGAGACTGGCTGAAGTCCAGGCTGCTCATTGGTATCCTCACAACTCCTATGGCATCGTGTTTTGAGAAACGGTCAAAGTCGTACACAGTCATCACCAGTGTCTTCCCTCCCAGCTCAGTGTATGGTACCTACAGGACAAAACTCACATCAAAGACAATAATTTCAAACATGTGCATCTGGCTGATAGCAAACCACTCAGGAAAAATAACCTAACCTTTATTGCCCTATAGTTTTCTTTTACCTTAAATGTGAACGTCTCATTGAAGCTGGGTTCAAGGGTCTTCTTGTGAATTTTGGTTTCAAACTTTTTCTTTTTGTCCGGGAGCAGATAGAGTTTAACATAAGGGTCAGAACTACCTCCAACATCCATGGCAGGAAGCTCTGCAGCCTGCAAGATGCCCACTACCAGCTAGAATGTGTTAGCAGAAGACAGTAATATAAAGAAATTAGCATCTGGCAAATTGACAGTGAGGAGAAATGTATTCAAATACTGGGCAAAAACATGTCATAATGAATAAGAGCATCTGACTGTATTATCTGTGAAGTTGTAGTCTAATGTGAAATGTAGTCTGCCAAGCGTCTCCTCCTCCTTGGTCTCCTTATCTGACAGATTTGTTTCTTTGTTTGCAGATCCTTTCAGTGGCTGCACACACACACACACACCCACACACACACAGAGAGAGAGAGCACATGCAAGTAAAACTATAGTCTTACAAGTAATTATTGAAAAGCTTCTGTTTCACAACTTGTCGAGCAGCTAATTGTGCTGTGTTCCTGCAGTTTACTGTATAGCACTACACAGCAAGAGGCAGTCAGACAAAGATTGTTATTTTATACTGGCAGTGTGTTTAAATGTGACTTGTGGCTTTGAAGATATTCCAAAACAACTTAGCTCTGACCTCAACCTACATCACAACATCAGCAATGTGTAACACATCCATTAGTCTTAACACACACTGGCAGTTTTATTAGTCCTGCATGACCCGGATGTCAGAACTGATACGTTACAAGGACGCTACAGTACATCTGCAAGGAGAGACCGTATGTGTGTCTGTAGTTTACCTCAATGTAACCTCCATCCATTTCATTGTCAGATCCTCCCTTGCTCTTCTCTTTTCCCCTTTTCTTGCTCTTTTCTTTGTCCTTGTCCTTCTTTTTCAAGCACTTCTTCCACACACACACAGAAGATGATAGCACCACGCACAAAATCACAATACACAGTGCAGCAACAGCCCACGATTGCACTGTAAATCCACATAAAGCACATGCACATAGATAGTAGGTTAATTAATATATACTGTATACACTTTGAGTCATCTGCTTGAATTCAATATTCAAAACATTGCCCTTAAATTTCCCCTTTACTACTGATGCTTGTATGTAAGAAGTAAAATAAAACCATGTTTTCACACTGTTTGAAAACAAAAATATATCACATGAATAAAATATTAGGGACACTGGAAAATGCAGTGCAGTTCAGTCCAGTTGTCCTGTAATAAGTGCTGTTTTCAGAGAGGTGCTGATTCAAATCCAATCATTTTTGGCCTTGTGGTGGTGTTATATTTTGCAAGTGTCCTCATTTTCTGGCCTTTACAGTGTGACCCTTCTTCACTCAGTCACATATTCCTGAAAAAAGACACTCTCAGCAACTTTTAGGTTCTGGGGAATATTTGCCATCTAGTCATGTTAATTGTGATTGAGAGAGCACAGATAATATTCTTTCCAAAATATCAAGAGAGAAGGAAAAATGTATGATGTATAAAATCTATAATTTACTGTAATTTTTGCTTGGATATGTGTATATATCTGTCAAGAATTTTAATGGCCACACCGTTACAGTACACTGGGATACTTTCTTTTAATGACGTAGCCATAATGTCAGAGCAGCCGAGGGTCCATGGGGACAAACATTATGTTAAGTATTTAACTCACTGTGGATGCTGCGCCGTTCACTCATGAACTTTTTGGGACTGTGGCCTCCTGAATGAGTTTGGCCTGGGGTGGTTGTTGCATTTGGTGAGTGGGTTGGGGTAGCTGTGGCGCCCGTCGTAGCTGCGGCAGCGTGATGGTTCCTGGTCATTATTACAGTAGATGATTGACAGAAGATCCAGAACTTAACTGGCAGAAAGGCAGAAAAAAGATGGCCCAGCCCTCAGCTTGCCTGTAAATGACCTTCAAATGTGCAGAAATCTAAACCAAGAAACCATCTAAACAAATCACATGAACACACTTCCACACTATAGCAGAGTTTCATAAATGTTATTGATCTGATGCATTTGAAACAACGATGTGCTTATTAAAACTTTATGGACGTCAGTATCAAATAACTTCTCCTGTTTCTGCTGGTCTGACAATAACACTTGAACACAGGATATGCAAACCGCTTTCTCTGCCAAACCTGCTGCCCTGAAGGGAAGAGGGGAGGAGGAGAGGAAGGGACACGTCCACAGCTGAGCTGCCAGCTGTGAGAGTCATGTGCCAAGGTCATGCTCAGTACATGCTAACAAACTATATTAAAAAGAAGTCCAACCACCAAGACTTGACACCCAAGTGCAAAAGTGTTTTGACATATTATTTGGTATTCTGCAGACATCATGCAGGTGTCAGGTATCTAGCGCTGAATCAGCAGATGGGATCTCACACCCGAGCTGACACTGATCTGAATTTGTCTGCTGGTTAAGGATTATTTAGCAGTTAGATTTGAAAGGATTTACATAAACAGAAGCCACCACTGATACACACTAATCCAAAGGAATACCACAGTTCTCTCATACAATCATGTATTTAATGTATTTTAAGCAATATTTCTGATTCCAGTGCACTTTTATTAAAGTGCTCATTGAAGTTTTTTATTGTATATGCTGATATGAAACAGAAACATTACACAACTACTATATTTGTCAAATAGCAATTATTTGAAAATGGTTGATGCAGATTATAAAAAAAGAATACATTGCCATCTTTTTTCATTTTTGCTGCAGAGGTGATAATGAATGTCTCAGTATTTGCACCATGATCCTCCAACTTCAGTTGTTAATGCAGCTAAAACTGTTTTACCTCAGATTTATCAAGGTCTAAAATTCATTACATTATACAAAATATCACTGGAAGACAAAAGATCTATATTTGCAAAAAAATTCTAGTTTAAGACACTGTTAGACAAAACAGCCTTGTTTTAAGTTTGACATCAGAGGATGTTATAATTCTTCAATGATGGCAAAATAAAATTGCAAAACTGGAGTTACAAACTATAAATTACCCATGGTGACAGTGTTGTTGTACCGCAGTTTGCATCCAGTAAATAAGAGAATGATCATCAAAGACCTGATTAACATAATTTGCAATATTTTGTGTATCCATGTGTTCACACATAGCTACTATTCACTTAGTACTATCAAGAAACTAATAAATTAAAGTAGGTTTGACTAATGAAACACAAAGGAAAAATGGAACCAGTGACATACCTGTATTCAGCCGTCCCAGCAGCAGTGCTCAGACTAATCAGGATCTCCTTTTCCTTACAGAGAAGTGGAGGAGAAAAATAAAATGACACAACCAAAGCCATGGAGTAAAACTGTGAGGTAAAGTTAAGAGTCAGCATGTTGCACTTTAGTTTTTATCTTACCAGTTTTTAGACATCAAGAAGAAGGATGCAAGTGTGTGAAAGCTGGATCAAGAGAGAGAGAAAGAGAGGGAGGGCAGGACAAGTTGGAGTTAAGGTTGGGATAGGTGGAATTGCAGCTCACTCATTTTGTGGTGCTTCCCTCTGCGTATGTGTGTGTGTGTTATAGATGCAGGGGTAAATGTGATCTTTTCGGTCCATTCAGGTCTCACGGGAGCGCTGTTCCTTATTTTTGATGCCCCACCTCTTGTGACCTCTGTTCCATCCCTACAGGTCACCCTCACTGGGCCACTGATGTATATTCATTAGTGTAGTGACAAGGCTTTTTAAAGGCTCGTTAGCATAGTGATAGTTCAGCAATAGAGGCCATTTACATTCAGAGTGGACAACTCTCTCTCTCTCTCTGTGTGTGTGTGTGTGTGTGTGCATCTGTACATCTGGCACTAGCTGCAGAACTGTCTCATATTGTCTATGTATAGATGATGTTGCCTGATTTAGAAACTTAGGATGTGGTTTCTGTAGCAACACAGAGATCATGTTCCGACCCCATACTGTTCACCTTGGGTGACCAGAGATACTGTACAGAAAATGGGAAAGAGAGGTGGTGGGAGATGAGCAGGGCAAGAGTGCAGCTCAACATAACCTCTGTCTCTACAGAATATACTGTACACTCTATGTATTTATTTTGCGTAGGACAAACATTTGAGGTCAGTTATAATTATCATTCCTTAAAGTGTGTTTTTTTTTTTATTATCTTCATGAGACAGTCTGGGGAGCAGCTGACTTAAGCCCATGCTGACATCCTGATCTTCATTTGCAGTGAAGTATAGTACAGTACATGTTTTGACTGACAAGGCATGTAAAAAGTGAGGCAACAGCCTTTTTTCACAGCAGACATTATGACTTGCCACAGCAGGAGAAGGACAGTCTTTAATAATAACATGGACAATGTGACAGTGAACCAGCGTGCACAATAGCACAGTACTGTACCCTTGTCATGCAGCAAATTATCTTATGCAATTTTCTCTACCCAGAAACACCATTAACCCTTTAAAGGCAAAGAGATTATGACAACTCGATGCCACTACACATAACACAATACTCACACCTAAACACATAGTCACAGTCATGAATGTAATGTAATACTTTCACTTATACATGCATGTAAAAACAAAAAATGCAAAGCAAAGCAAAGGCTTTGCATTATGTATAGACTAAACAGTATAAACAAGTTTTTACAGTATGGTTTGTTTTAGGGAAAGGAAAACAACTCATACCTCCACACGCTAGTCAGCAATAGTCACTTTTGATCTAAATTACATCTACAAAAGAAACCACAGAAGAAGGGAAAGTGTAAGAACTCGTTTGAAAATAGGTCAAACAAGTTTAAATTATACACTGCACAAACTAGGCAAACACCCTACAGGTCTTTGCCCACATTGTAGTCAGGTTAAGACAGTAGAGCATGTTCTATTCATATGCAGTGCTTATGATGAGCAACATGCTCAAATGATAGCGTTAATGGAAAAAGTGAAGATTACAAATTTATCACTAGAGAGCTTTTTGGGCAGCAATTGTAAAATGGGAAGCATGTAAAATTGTTATTAGTTGCTTGGTAGATATGGGTATTTTGGATCGGATTTACTAGTTTATGCAGTTCTAAGAACCTTTTTTTATTCCTCTGACTCGATGATCGTTCCACACTCCAGCCCAGCAGGCGGCCGTAATGCATCTTAAGTTGGTTTGCAAACCGCCAATAAACATCATAACAAGAAAAAGAAGAAGAAGAACCACAGAAGAAGACCCGTCACTAGGAAACAGAAGAAAGCGTTCCCGCTGGACGGATGGTGAGTCCTCTCATATTTAATGTATATTTTGTTTATCTGTGTTTATCTGACAGCCAGAAAACGATGTATTAAAGTCATTTCTGAGGTTTGAATAAGTTAAGCTCACTTGAAACAGCGACGAGTTCACTACATTGGTTTAACTTGCTGTCTCGCTAGCAAATGCTAGTGTGCGTTAACAAATCCGCTATTGTCTGCAATGCAGAGAGCTTCCCTGCTGTTTCAGTTATGTATTGATAGTTGTTGGACCTGATTGTATTATGGTACTGTACAGTACAGTCACAGATTCTGCAGGTGTCAGAGCTTTTGTGCAGGGACCTATGGTACAGATAGTAGCACCCACATGGTTACAGGTGACCTACTGGTTAACAAAGACCCACAGCGTTAGGTAGTAAGATTTTACTAGCAACTTATATGTACCACAGCATATAAGGGTTTCAGCTATAGCCTCTGCTAAACTGTAGAGCTGAAGCTAACTTATTCTGTAATCTAACATTCACAAAACCGAGGTTTACAGACTTTGATTGAACTGTCACACATTGCATTCATGCATGGAATGAACAGTGTGTGCCACATTTAGGTTATATTGAATATTATTATTGCAGTATAATAAAATAATATACTGCATCATTGTTTATGTAGTCTACAGTAGATGTATTTTTATGTGAACAGATATTACTGTAGAAGTTATTTGTAATGGATTCTCTTTTTGTTTACTGTAATCAAGCATAATTCTATGTTTACACAGTAGTGATTTGGGATGTAAATTGATGAGGACATAATGCTTGAAATGTAAGTCAACGTCCTAAATTGGCGCCTGTCTAGTGTTGAACTGTGATACAGTTGCATAAGTAATATATATTATTCTTTACGCCAACCAAGTATTGAGCTAATAACATTTGAATGCCTCTGTTATGGTGCATTAGGTGGCTGTTCACATGATGAGACAAATTGTTATATTTTGACACCACATGTGATGCTAAACCCAGAGAGTGACTCATTATTAAAAATAAAACATCCTGCATTTGTTGCTTGTTTAAAAAAAATCATTTTTTATTTTGCAATTTACAGTTTAAAACCTTGGTTCTTTTATATCTGAGTCTGTTTACCTTTCAGCATATGGGGATGCTGTCACTGGAACATCTTCACCTCAAGCATGTCCTGCAAACAGTTTGTGCACTGGAGGCAGTTGTCCTCCGCAGTTTTGGTCCAGATGGAGGACAGGTATTGTTCATCCGGGACACAGCAGAGGCAATGTTGAGCCGCAGTGGGTCACGCATTCTCACAGCACTACGACTTGAGCATCCTTTGGCCAGGTAGACACATCTACTCTTTTACTATGATGCTGTTTGTCAAATGTCAATTCTATTGTGGTGCTTATGTGTGGGTTTCATTTTAGGATGGTGGTGGAGTGTGTCTGGAAGCACAGCACTGTAACAGGGGATGGATCCAAGACCTTTGTCCTACTGCTGGCATCATTACTACGGATGATTCATACAACGGTCTGCAAGGATCCTACTGTGTCTCACACTTGTAACTCCAGAAAGGCAGCAGAGGCTGCTTTGGCCAGGCGCTTGGCCGACGAACTGCTGGCATTTGTTTTAGAGGATCTTGATGATCTCATCACTGTTGGAGTGGTCCCCTATGGATGCTGTGTTTCGTGGGAGGATTTCACTGCAAAAACACAATCACCAGTTCACACCAACAATCACCATGTTCAGAAGTTGCTAGCATCGTTCTTTCATACGCGCCTTGGTTACACTCACTGTGATTTCATAAGCAACCTTGCATGTGAACTGTTTGCATCCTGGAAATTTAAAAATGACACACCTGCCTTATCACTTCAGTTTGTAAATGACAACTTCCCTGCACTGCATACACCTGTATCAGGTTTCCCTATTGACTGTTCTCGTTTGATCGAGGGGCAAATCATTCACAGGGACTTTGCTACGCCCTGCCCTCAGACTGAGAACCAGCCGGTCAAAGCCGTAATTTTCACTGGGTACCTGGAGTCTGAATTGCTCAGAGCAGGAGAGGTGCTTGAGGTGGGATGTGGAGAGCAAGTGATGGAGGAGAATTCAAGCATGAAGCAAAGTATTGTGCAGTTTAGTGCCTGGGCAGAAAGGTCACTAGAGTGGGTCATTGCAGACCTGCAAAGTTTGGGTGTCTCTGTACTTCTGTTTGCAGTGAAACAATCTCCTGCTGTCCTGGCTTTAGCCACACAGGCAGAGATGTGCGTTGTTGAGTGTATCAGTGAAGATGAGCTGTCTCTTTTTGCCCAGCTAAGTGGCAGCATGCCTGTCTCAGACTTCTGGATGATTCAACCGGAGCATGTTGCCTCTCTGGCCTTTTGCCGCCCAGTACTACTTGGAGCCCATAGGTATGAATACATGCATCTCTTTATCTACTGTACATTTTGAACTGTAGATATACATATGCAAAGAAAAAGTATATGCACAGTTCACAAAGCTTTTATTATTAGTTTTTGCTTTATCTGATTTCAATCATGAAAATCGCAGTTTAACGCTGTTTTTTCCACAGATATGTCCATGTGGCTTTCCATGATTTAGAGGAAAAGGTCATGGTCAAACCCTGTAGTCTGGTCATTTGTGCCCCAGGGGAAGGGCAAACTGACCAGTATGCATGTGCCTTTCGAGATGCCATCCGCATGCTACTTACAGCTTGGGAGCCCCTGGGTATGACTGCACATACAGCATCAAAAAGGACCTGCTCCAATGCATCTCCCTTCCAGCAGCGTGTGTTGGAGCCAGGCTGCGTTATACCTGCTGGTGGGACATTTGAGTTGCTCTTACACCATACCCTACGACAACATAGCCGCAGTCGCTCAGTTTCCGACAACACGAATATGAGTTTACCTGCTGTTTCCCAGCTCTTGGCAAAAGCTCTACTGTGCGTGCCACAGAGGATTTATTCCTACAGTCCACGACATTTCCTGAAGACTCAAACCAGAATCCTGAGTCTTATTTCAGATCATTCCCCCCTTTTCCCCAGGCACTTGTATAAACAAGAACATAAAACAAACCCTGTGCAGAATTGTAGTACAAAGGAATGTCCTCTACAGGATAGTAAACTAAGCATGCATTATTGTGGACAGGCTCACATGTCGTCAAATTTTTTTCTGTCGGACTTGGGCCTAGAATCTATATCCTGCAAATACCAGCTGCTTCTGGCCGTTGTGCAATGTGTCACAAGTCTTCTCCGGGTCGACGCTGTGCTGTGTACGCACACTGCCTCATACACACACTCACATAGATTTGCAAATAGTTCCTTTGTAGGTTCAGAGGATGAGGCTGAGGGCTAAAATTATATTCTATCCCAAGATGAATACTATAAACATATTTTCTCTCAGTACAAACTCAAGCAAATTATTTGTACTTTAATGGATATTGCTGCAGCAATTTTTGTATGGCCACAGTATTTTTTGCCAGACTGCGATATATTTGTAATGCAAGTCTTCTGGACCTGTGCAGTGAGAAACTTACATTTTATTGCATACCATTTATAGGCCAATGAAATTTTAAGGTGGTTCCCTACCATGCTGTCCTGAATCAAGGCTAGGTTTGGCAGTAACAGTAAAAAAAGAAAACACAGAATAACTTTGATGTATTGTACGGAATGTGCAGTTGTTATCAAATCATTTAGATTTTATCAACTATGTCTTAATGTGAAGTAAATTGTTTAGCTTTCGCTTTTGACTTCTCATTGTTTGTTTTTTTAACCACAGTTTCTCTTTCTTATCTCAACTTTCATGTCCTCTTCTCTTGGCCAGTACGTTATATAAAAGGCATACACACTGAACAACAAAGGTAAATTACATCACAAATATGCACACTTCTCTTTTATAATCAGTGTTATCTCCTTGGCCGGTGGGTCATCAGAAAGGCAACACCCTGCTGTCAACAACTAAATCAAAGGGTACTTCCTTGTGCTGTAATCAGAGGAAGACAAAACATATTCTCACCTCTTTTTGAGGAAATAGTGAGTCATTAGATGTGTTACACTCACTAGCTTACGTAAATCAGTACGTTTGCTTTAATCACCGATGGGAAGAATGCTCCCCAGGGTAATAGGAGTAACTTTAGGAGCTTTGTTTCTGCTTTGGCTCAAGCTCTACATGAGTCACACTTGACGGTTGCAAATATTAAAGAGGGAGAAGCTCGGGGCATATTCACAGTTTTTTTCCACTGCTCACAAGGCAACCAAGCCTTGATAATGGTTGCATGCCCCTCCTCCCCTACACAGCTTAACACAAGTCAGTTTGATAGTCAAGATTTTGCTGTGGTTAATGAACTTTACTCAGTGACCTGCTGAGAATAGTCCTTTCTTTATGTTCTTTTGACTAATGCATGTGTACATGAGTGATTGTGTGCTATACATAACAGAGTCGACTTAGTACATTTTATTTGGCTCTCAATTTTTGTCTCAGAAACATAGTGCACATGGTATAAAGCAACCCGATCTGTAAAATCAAAAGGACATAATCAAAGCACAAGTACCATTTAACCATCAAAGATGATAATCTTTTACAAATACAAAAAGACATTTACAAAAAATAAAGGCAAGGGAAAATTAGGAGATGGGAAAAGAAAAGAAAGGAACAAAAGAAATGTACAATGAATGAACTGAGATACTATTCTAAAACCAAGCTGAGAAAATCCACCGCTCGGCATTTAACTGGCTACTCGTCACCATAGTTTGACTACAGTGTTTTTAGAAAAAGGAACTGTAGAATTTCATTGGCTACTTCTGTATTGTGCTTAAGTCGTGGTTGCCTTTTTTCACCCTGGACCATGACTCCTCTTGCCAGTAGGTGACCCCAGTGGTAGCTATAATAATGTGATCAGTATACAATATGATCTGTTGTTTAGACAGCAATTCACAAACACATTTCAATCAAATGACCACACAATTACACATTTCTGTACCATGTTGCCACTGAAGCACAGATGACACCCATTCTATAGTTGGGCCTAATAACCACATTGCATTTATCTAGTCCAGGGAGGTGGGCCTAAGTGTCAACAAGACAGTTACAACTGATGAATAATGTAATAATCAGAAATAACAGCGTCTGGTCTAGCTTAGGTAATCCACCTTGAACAAGCACTTTCTATTGGCAGTGGAGAGTCACATGACTCTGGGAATGACATCATGCAATATTAACAAGGACTTCATGGTGCGATAGTGTCACACCACCTCACGAGACTTCCTGATGGCACAGCACAAGAGCATGCTAAAGATCATCCCAAACACCTGTGAGCGAGAAAAGTGCACAACTTGAGTCTGGCATTAGCTCAGTTTACCCTCCAGGGCAGAAGACATGCAGGCAAGAAATTCGATGAGCTCAAATCACTCATACACTTACCATAACAACCCCGATGGTAATGCCCACTCCTCCTATGATGTGTAGCTTAGAGTCAAACACCTCATCGATAGCATCGGGACAGCTCTGCAACAGACAAACACAATTCCTTTTCACTTTCTCTCTAAACCTGTACTGAACGCGACTTGTGGTATGGCACACCTGACTGACAGCCTAATAGCATGCAGGCTTCAGTTAACCACTGTTGTCACTGCAACACTGCAAAAACTCTTAGGGATTTCAGTCAGCAAAGTGAAGTCTTGTGACACATTTCGGACCATCAAAGTGTATTTTACATGCAGTAACTGCTCTCACAGAGCTGAAGCATGTCTGATATCTTTTAGACCTATGACTCGTCTCATCTTTAAATGCAATTTTTCTTTCTCTGTCACTTGACTGAAGTACCTGGCTGTGCTGGCATCAAATCTATACACATACTTAGGGTGGTACCTTGGTAATGAGCTTCTCAAGCAGCTCTCCCTGGGGACAGGTGTCTTTGTCAGCATCTGCGACGGTGCCAGTTGGACCGCAACAGTTCAGCTGTAAACATACAAAATCATAGCTTTAGATAAGAAGGTCACTTACAGAAGGCAACACAAATTTCTTACTACAAATGTTCCTGTTAAAGGAATGGTTTAAATCTGAGCTTCCAAAGTCTTTCTGTCACTGTGAGGTAGCCCAGCAACCAGTGGAGACACTGTACAGAAGTACTGTATGTATAAACTGTTGTTCATCAAGAAAAAGCTAACAGAACAGGGGTGACAGGCATGTTTCAACATAGAAATTTGAACGGTATCAATCATCTCCTCCAAGTCACAAAAAAGCGAATAACTCTATGTCCTACAATGCTGAACCAAACTCTTCTTTTAAATTTACAGAATCTATATTTTGTAATCAGTTCTGAAAGCTCTTGCTATGGGAGCTCATTTCGTTGAAATGTTCAATCACTCCACAGAGAAAAACAAGTTCCCATTTGACTGCACTGCATTCCCTTGAAAATACCTTTTGTGTCAAATTATCTAAGGATAAGACCTTAGTCAAGTCCAAACTGTCTGAATTAGAATGAAACAGAAATGTCTCACCCCGGTTTGAATCACTCGCAGTGTATCTCTGAGCCGAGCATCTCCTGTTGCCTTGTAGTTGTTGTATGTTTGCATGTAAAATGTTGTGATATCACTGACCACCTGTAACACAGCAACAAGCCGGGAAAAGGTTTGGTCACTAAAGCAGATAAATGTAACATTTAATGTAATGCACTTCTTCATCTATGTTAAGTGTCTGTAACATTGTTAAAAAGGCAGTGCACCATATTTCAAACCTGTATGTTACCTTGCTTTGGTTGGAAAATCCCCAAATTCCAGCTGCAACCTCAACGGCAAATATGATAAGCAGGAAGAAGAAGAACTGTACAAAGGAGAGAAAAAATCAAACTCAGCTGACCGTGTGAATGCGTGCCTCCATGCATGCTTGTGCAAAGGTCTTTTGTATACATGTGTGAACATGTAAAGTCACGTGAGTGCATTTGAACTCTATTTATATAGGCTCCTCCTCCTGAGAGATTTAGTACAAGAAGATTAGGGCCAGGCAAGCTCAATAGAGAGGGAGGGAGTGGAGAAGTACAGGGACATCTCTTCTCTGGCCTTGACACTACTCTGTAAGTCATGATAAGGGCAGACAGCTAATATTTCTTAACGAGTTCAAGAGCAGTCCACAATCAGAGTGGGCTCATTACAAAAAGACTTACACAGTGTTGGTTTTAAAGCATTTAAATTTGGTTAGTTACTGTAAGTAAACTGAAGTTTGCGGAATGGGAAGGGAGAATTAGACAAAGAACAAAAAGTGGTACAAACCAGTCCTAGCATACAGGGCGACTCCTGGATGGCCCCACAGCATCCCAGAAATCCCACCACCATCATCAGTGCTCCAGCTCCGATCAGGATATATACACCTGGAAACACACACAATACAGTATATATCACATATACTGTAAATGAGCTCGCAAAATCCCAAATCTTTGCTTAAACTTTGTTTATATGATAATTGATAATGTTTCTGTTCAGTAAGAGCATTGTACCTGTGTAAAAAACATATGGAGAGTCTGGTCCTTCAAACAGGCCTTTGGTCTTTGCGTCAAATCTTAGCCATAGGCCTACAGCAAAGACGGCAGTGCCTGCAACCTGAAATGAAAATAAAATTTCAGATGGGAAGAATATTTTTCATACATCTGCCCTCTATCTCGTTGCTGTCAGAATTTATAACCTCTCTTTTCTCAGCTGCTTCCAGATGTCATTTAAAATCTGCATTGACAGGCCCCATCTGGAATCCTTCTTAAGAGCTCATCCTTCAGGTCTCATGCCAGATGTTCTGTTCAGTTATCAGTGTCTGCAGTCCTTCATATCATATCCAAACCTTCAACACCAACACCAGGGTCCACTGATGTAAAGTCCTACTCTGGCTTCATGAAGCTATGGCATTGTCAAATCAACAATTATTTTTATTTGTCCTCAGAAATTGCTATTTTCTGTCTGTGTATCAATAGAACAAACAATAGTATTTGACACACATCATTTTTCATTATGCACCAGCACATTTCAATCAAGCCCACTGAAAATCTACACTCTTGATAAGGATGAGAAACATGTAACAGATTTCACAGACAATTTTAACTCATGGCCAGTCTTACTGTAATACTGCATTAACTGAACACATGCATGATGCAATATGTATGTCTGTGTACACTCGAGTGTGCCTGTGTGGAGTGTATGTGCACACACCTAACTAGAAAGCAGGGCCACAATCAAAGAAGAGATAGATGAGAAAAAAACAAGGTTCCTTTGTTTTTGTATTTACACATTTCCTTATTCATAAACTTTATGTAGCTAATATTGACACAAAGTAGCATGTGAATCCATCAACACATACAGTAGTGGCATTGTAGCGACACTGATCTGTTCTCATGTTTCTTTTGTACATAGCATATGAACAGAGCAAGGCTGCAATTTACACTATAAATATCATGCATGGTGTCCATTGTGCAATGTGCATACATTTACAGTTCCTATACGCCTTGTCAACATAGACGTGTCAGTGAATTTTTAGCTTTGAGAGCCTTACTGAAAGATGGAAATCTGTTCTTTTCAAAGCATGTATGTGTGTGTGCGTTTACACTCACCAGCCACTTTATTAGGTACACCTGTACGATTGTATGCAATTCAATGCAGCACTTCCGCCTTAACATGTTTATGAAGCTCAAAATGTTTCAGTTTTTGGTGAAATTGTTGTAAATATAAAATTCAATGATACATTTATTACTGAGGTCATAGTTAAAGGTGGTGTTGTCATGGACTATATTATATTCAGAGGTGTCTCTATTTATTAATTTTATTTTACTATTTTTCACTGCTTACTTCCTGTTGTGTAATTGTTATGTTCCACTGTATGAACAACATGGCAGATTAGAGCAGACCACCAAGTCACAAATTCAGTAAGTTTTTCTCTGCTTCTCTCTCTCTCTCTCTCTCTCACACACACACACAGACACACATTGCAATGAAACACAAAGTACACCTACCCAGAAGAAAAAGTTGAAGATAAACATGAGATATTTCACACACGTGATTCCCCCAGCGACGGCCATGCTGATTCAGCCTACACACTGCACCAGTATTGAGTATGTGAAACCTTCCTCCCAGAAACACGCAAAGGCATAATGGTGTCACTGAGAAAACACCGTGGAGAGGGGGGGAGGAAACATGTTTACCACGCCTTCAAACAGTCACCTGACCTTGGGGCGTGGCAAAAGTGTCAGTATTACCTGAGAACATGTCCTGACTGTGTATATGATAAGAACAACTGCTTGTGTTCCTTTTTCTTTTGGTCCATTGTCATGCAGGTACAGCTTGTCTGTAACTGCTTCATGTAACCAAATCATGTGGGAACACAACATATTATGATCTGGGACATGGCAGCACAGATAGCACTGTTCAGGTAAACTGGCATTAAAGTGTTTGTAAAATACCAGCCTAGCTGCATATTTACTTCTCTGGTGTCTGAACCTTATGTGAGTGCAGTTAAAACGGCTGCTCTCAAATATGATCTCCCCCCCCCCCCCCCC